CATCAACCTGTCATCGAGAAATCGAGTCCCGCATGATTATCGCTCGGAAATTAAGTCATTAGAATGATGTTAGAATCGAATATAAACACGCGAAAACTGATGATCTGAGTGTGAGTTCTATGTGAGCGCACAGTTGAGGTGGCGGCTATAAAACGTTATTATGCTATTATGAAGCGATCTGATGAGTTTGTTTATGCGAAGCTGTGTTTGTTGATCGAGTCGATTAATTATTGATCATTGCGAAGGTGTAATCATTAGTGTGACCAATTGATGNTGATGTTGCACAGAGTTGTCTTAAATGCTTTCGTTTGACCAACTCAGACGCCTATTCAATTCTGCATCATGAAATATTCATCGTTGATTCATTCATCTCTTCAACTGCATTTTTGAAATCCTTCTAAAATTAACAACTACGTTGAATCACTCAATTGTTCCGATGTTTCATATTCATTCGACCTGAAATGCCTATGCTGGCTCGCAGTGTTAGCGATAAATTCGATTTGATTGGCGTTTGTTGGCGTTTGTTACGGACATTCTTTTGAATGTCCGTAACGCCAGTCACTAATAATTCGTGTCTCAGTTACTCACAAGCTGAATATGCGCTTTTCTGAAACCTTCTCCATTGCTCACTCCAAAGTTCTTCAACAGATCGCGAATTCGGAAATGAAATAATCTTCAGTTATAGTATTGTAAGAGTTTTCAATAAACTACCAAATCACTCATTCATATATGCCTGAGAAATCACACTGAAGTTTCAACGTAATCAGTAATGCATCATGTGACCATACATGTGCTTGTCATCGCATTGTTGAATTTGATTTGTGATGTGCCAGTTTTGAACATAATGCCTCACGGTATCTGGAGAAGAAAAAAATGATAATTTCGAATTTACGATATCCGCCTCTCCTAAGTGTCTCAGTTGGAAAATCGCTCCCTTCGCTGCTCACAACATGGCCATGAGATGAAATGATCGGTTCCGTGTCTATGGGGCGTGTATCGCGAAAGAAGTACAATATTTTGAACGGAAACTGGCGATAGAAATGCAATTACAATTGCTACTTCATAATACAATCATTGACTGCTATAATAATCACCTTATAACAATCGTGTTCAATGCAAGCACATAAAATATAGCCTAACGAATTATTCATCTCTGACACACAAACAGCGTGAAATCTGTTCAGTGCGCAGTACTTGTTTGAACTGAGCTTACTGAGCGCATGCAACTGCCTAAAGGCGTAATATATATCTGAATAAATTTCATTGAATAAATGTTCCAAGCTAGTTTTTTCAAAAAGTTTTATTCTTCATTAGAGCAGAATTTCGTTGACAACTGACTGCATCAAAGGAATCATCATCTTTTCATTGTGTAGCTAGTTCACTGTTAGCAGTTGAAATGACAACTCAAGAAATAGTAATAAAATGTAATTTGTGTTCATAAGTGAGCCAAGTATGAAAAGCAGTTGTTGTTATTGCAGTCGCAGTATACCAAACTGTATCAGAATTTGATGGATTCTAGCGCAGATAATTCATCAATCATCAACTTGTCATCTCCAATCGCAAGCTCAACTGTTGTTTGTTGTTTGATTGATTAAATTTGAAAGCAAACGGTTATTGCGGTGAGGTCAAAGATCAGTTGGTATTTTCCCTTGCTGTAAGCATGATTTACACCTTCAGTTTTCGTCATCAACTGATATGCTTTAAAATGTTCACTTAGTACTCATTGGTCTCTAGTTCAATGAATAGATGTCAATCTTGATAAAAATCATCAAATCCGCACATTTTCGCCATTGCAGATATCAGTTTCGAATCATTTTCAGTACTTCGGATTTCAAATTTCAATGGATAAGTTTATGAAATTTTCATTAGAACATTTAAAATCAGCCGTTGATCAGCTAAGCATTGGTGGCCAGGCTTTCCAACTGGAAATAGTCTCATCTGGACTAATTACAAAATAATTAATGAGAATTTCAATAGTGAAGTAATGGGAACCCTCTGCGAATTTTCAGGGTGATCCCATGAAACTTAGCGATCGTCGAGTGGTGCTGCTAAGTTTCTGAAGTGTTCGCTGCTTGCATATTCACTCAAATATATCGGATGGTGCGAAGGAGCTGAAGAGTACTGCGATTGGAAATTTGTCTCACGATCAGACTAAGCAGTTAATGGATCTTTTTAAACTATAATCACAAGTTCCATTATCGCATCATATTCTTAAGCTGTAATTTTTCAGTGAATCCTTTTCTCGATTATGAAACGTTGAATCTCTCTCCAGTATCTCGTTGCAGTCTGCATGACTGTTTCTGATAGTATGCATCGTCAAGTTCGCTTCGCTCACAGCTAGTCGCATTGCAAACATTGCAAAGAGATGCTAGCTCATCGCTTCATATTCAAATAGTAATTATGAAAATCTATTTAAATTGAACTAGCCATTGCGCAAACGAATTGTTTTCATAGTTTCAAATATAGATGATTCCATTCAATCTCGTATAATTGTCTTGCAAACAGTTCAAGTTCATAGCAATTAAGGTGAATGCCGTATTGCACTACTCAAACACATCTCATGCGCGATGCTTTATTATTCTAGGCAGACCTATGTAGCATTAGTATTGTTCATTTCAACGATGTTCTTGTGTTTACGATTCTTGAATACTCATTATGTTGGAGGATGCAATCAGAAAGCGAATCACGCTTTGACGATGAATAGAATGAAAGTGTCCGCTTGGAGTGATAGCTCACTGTCGTAATGAAGTTAAGTTCACGGAACTAAAATGTATTTGATGCTAAATCTTAAGCAAGTACTGCTTTGGCCATTCACTTAATCCCAATTACCCGCATCAGCGACAATTGTATTTGATTTGTTTATGTGTGTGATACATACTTTGACTGAATTGATAGTTGCATCAGATCATTTTATATTCATTACAACAAACTGACTCAGTGTCGATTTATTGCAATGAATAGAAAATGATTTATGTTTTCGATCTATTTACTTGAATTCGCTGAGGCTGTTTTCGATTTTTTATTGCTGGCCTCAGCATTTTTATGAGTAATTCGTTCTTATCAGGCTGTTTCGGTCACTCACATCACGTTTGCTTTTGCTGTCAGCATCGAAAATTTCAATCCGAAAGCATGCATATTCGATCTTGAATGCCCTTAGGTGATTGATAACTCAAGAATTATCAGTAAGGAATGAGAAATACCCAACCTTCGTCAAATAGCCAGTATATACGTCTGTTTCAATGTTGAGGTGTTTCAATGTTGAGGTGTTTCAATGTTGAGGTGCTTATCGCACAAATTCGTTCACCTACGATTATCAAAAGCTTCAAAGCTTTCTGATCGCCAAAAGAGTGCATGAAGTTTTGCAAGTTGAGTCGCGAGCGCGATTACAAATGATACGGAGCCGTTTACTGTAACGCACGACATCTATCAATGCATGCGAATGTTGGAAAAAAGTTATCGAACGCAATTTCTGAAATCTTTTCGATGTTTCTGCGAAATGTTTATCGATGAGGAACGCACTCAGATCATCATCTGCATGTCATTATCAGAATAAAACTTCAATTGATCTCATTCAGATTAAAATTTGCAGGTGTAGTGATGCTAATGTGATCGATAAGTGATTCCCCAACCCATGCACCCATACATGATCTTGGCCTTATGTTGAACCACCATTGGTCGCTCAACTTCAAAACTTTTCACTTATATGAGTTCGCTTGCACATAATTGAAAATATTGTGTTCAACAATTCCATGGAAACGCCAACATGTTCATGGCGAGTAACTGACATGTATCGAACAAACATTTATGAATACTCATCAAAAGTTATGAAAGGAACAACATCGGCATTGCAAGAATACGGAATACCCACACCTACGCATGGTAGCAAGAGAATTCGTCTACGTATCGCATGAACTTGTTCACAACGATTATGAACCAACGACCTCCTCAATTCCTCTTCTCATAGTCAGTTATCACGGAATCGTCTCTGAGAATTTTCTTGTTTTTTGAGACTCTGGAATGGATGCAACTTTATAAACACAATTTTATGAATTTATGAATGAATTATGAATTTATGAATTAATGGGTTTGTTCCGAGTCAATTATTCGTTTTTGTGCAGCTGTTTTTCTTATCATACACAATTCAATTGTCACATCTACANCTATCAATCAGCAACATTACTGAGTTTGCTGGTTAAGGTTCGGTCAATAATGGCATACATCATATAGTCAATTCAGAATATGACCACCGATTATAAGTCCGTAATCCATCATTATTCCCGTGTGCTGCATTCATTTAAGCATCAATGACTTTCGCCAAAATTCAGTGAATCATACCGTTTCCAATCTGTATTACTAGTTCCATCATATAGAATAGATTCCGTAAGATATTGAATTTGTGGTAAATTATCTTTCTGCTATGGTTTATCAACAGCTGAGAGAAGGTGAGGCAAAAATTAAGTAGGCAGCACGCGACTGACATTTTTACCGATAAATTCAAGCATGGATGAAATCATGTGAGCCGGCCGATCCATCTCGTTTTGAGGTGATGAAATAAGCATTCGTACATTAATACATTCACGTTCCACTTGCGCACTTCAATAACTCTGTTAATCGCTTCATTGATTTGAAACACCTGTGGTTAGATTAGCACTTGATTCTGACTGTACATAGAACACTTCGATTTCTTCTGTTTTGATTTGTTCCTAGGTTGGTTTTCATTAAATTGTGCATTCAATATTCAGTCGTCTGCCATCATAAAATGTTTCTTTTCGCTGCTTTTAATTTCATTAGTGTTTTGTTTTGCTTCCGTCGACCACACAGATTTGCGTGCAAACGTATGACACTGCAAAAGCAGACGTATTCCGTTGTGATTTCATTGAAATGTAGATGTTTATATCATTTTGAACTTTTTCAAATCAAGCACACAACGCAAAGTCAAAACGCGATACTGAGAGTCGGGGCTCTGGTTTCATGCCTCAGTAATGGTATCGATTTCAGGGATGAATTCGAATATATTGTTGTTATCCGTTGTGATATTTTGTGAATATTCGTTTTTGGTACAGTGTGCACTAGGACTTATTGGGAATGCAATCAACCTAGTCGTTCTGCTCTCGAAAACAATGAGGAGTAGGTGAGCCGAACGCTTCGATCGTTTTCTTCATTTATTCGTTGCAATCATTCTAATTTCAAAAGCTAGCCTGATTTAGCATGTTTTTTTGAATGCAGACTGAATTAATTAATCTGCACAATTTCATCACCCCATATAAAAATCCTCATTTCGTTGCCAATTGAAGAAAAAAGCTAACACAGCGCTGTGGGCAAGGGAAGGTTCAAGGAAGGTCACACTGGTTCAAACTTTTGAAGTATTTTCATTTCAACTGTAATAGTATGAGGATGTTTGCAACTACTGTTTGAAGAGGAGAAGAATTCACATTAGATCGGTGCAAAGTATAAGAAAATAATGTGCCCAATCGTTTCACGTCTCGCCGTTAATCGTGAATTGAACCGTGTGCATAGTAGGGTTTATTTTTCATATGCAGTAGTATCAATCAAGAGGGAATATCCTTGTAAACATGCCCTCGGGGACATATTCATCACGCATTGATGCAATCATTGTTATTATATCGCGTTAATTAAGCAATTGCAATTCATGCTCATCCATTTTCAGGGCATTCGTAGTGTTTCATCAGAGCAAACGTAATATAAATAGCCATATCTTTACAAGTACAATTGACAATGATTTTTATTCATTCACGTAAATGATTTAACAAAATTGCGAGCAAAATTTAGCACATTCAATCGTACACAACAACATTTTAGACTGATTACAATAAGAGCAAAAATATATCCGCGATTAAGTGGACATCAGTGCACAGAAATCGCATTTGAAGGTTATCCGATTGTTCATTAGAGCATTTTCTGATTGGATGAGACCACTCTTGAGGATTTATCACCAATCATTTCGGGATACTCTTCCGTCCTGCTGACGAATAGAAACATTGTTTGCTTGGTACATTCTTGATTCACTCTCTTACAGTTCTGATGCAAATGAAACATCGCAATGAAATTATCAGACAATTTATTTCCATTTACGAAATTCTTTGGCTTTGTTTGCGATTGGACTTAATTTCTTATTAATGGCATGCAAAAAGGGTTCAGTTCATGTCCCATGATATCAAATCATCAAATTCGTCGCACGCAACTTAAAGTTATTCGCCAGTTCTTGATGAACCTTCTTCAACTCAAATTTTTCGTTTAGTGGAACCAGTTAGTCGATCCCGCAAATGAATGCGAAAATCTCTGCAAAAACAGAATAAGTCTGTTGCATGTTCGAATGCATATTTTCCGAGAGTGCTCACGTTCAACGCTTTTCCAAACACAAATCGCTCTCTCTTAGCAACCAAATCTTCTGCTGAATGATTTATAAAGGAATCAGCATCGTTGCAAGAAAGATTTCCGAACAATATTTTGAATTTTCTAAACCGAACTGATTTAAAGCACCGTGATCTTTTCATATTTGCAGAACGAATGCCCTTCTGGCGGCAACAGCGTTTGCAGACGCACTTTTCTTGATAGCGCTTACACCGCATTACTTATCCAGATATGCGTTCTTCGTACGCGCTGCAAAATGCCCTCACTGTAAGTATATATCACCGTTGGATGAAATGCTCGTAATGAATACAAATTGAAAAATTCATTCAAGCATCAGTTTTTGATGGATCTTTTTAGATTCTGAATGTAATTCTAAGTAGATGATGCATTTATATCAAAGGTTCCCCAAGTGAACGCTAACAAGCAACAAACAACCTTCACTTGACAAGCACTCAGCCTATCAAGGCACTTTGAAAACCTAATGAAATAGCCGACAAAAAGAGAAATTAATTGCGTTTTTTTAGAATGCCTTTTACGAGATATGTCTTCGAAAATGTTTGCCTTCAATCAAATCAGAATTATGATATTTGGGGGAATAAGCTCAGAGGAATGTTATCAATGTAATAAATCAATGCATTCAATGTTAACAGATTCAGATGCTTCGCACATCGCAATCAACAGATGCAGATCTGAATTTTACGAGTTTTATGTCGAATATAAAACACTCTTCACATTTGCTGCCAATTGGTTCTCAGCCGCATCAAGTTGGTAAGTGTTTTTATGGTGTTTGTCTAGCTTCCTTGAATCCACACACTCAGTTTTACGAAACTTGATTGTTTATTAATTCCAACTTACATTGCACTGATTCTGCTCAAATCATGAGGCTGGTTTGATTTTTGTGAGAAGATTTTGCAAATGTTAACTTTTCGTCACTACTGAAGTAGACTGACTTTAATATAAATCGCTGTGATTCTGGTCGCATTTATAATTCAGTTGATAGACTTGAATCCTCCGATGCATTGCGGAGTCTGAATATGCGTAACATTCTGTTGACATCAATACAATAGGTAACACAATGCAATGCGCTCAGTTTTAACATATCACAGGAATAATCAAAACTGCAGTTTTGGCATAAGCCAACCTAAGGTTAAGCTCAAGCCTCATTGCATTGGCTAATTTCTTCGACCGGAGATCTAAGCGTTGCATGACCTATTGTATGACAACCATTCTGATGTTTATGTCTAGAAAAGCAAAGGGCTTTTCAAATTGCTCAGTTGGTTTACACATCAATTAATGTTGAAGTCCAACTCAACGATTGTTAAGGTTGACTGTCGCTGTTTCGTTGGACCGTTTTTGGGCCATCAAATCACCACTGCAAGTAAGGAGCAGCACATGCTCGTGGTCACTCACTCTGACACTTTTGAGTGTGTTCGTTGTAACGGGTCTTTTAACACTTCCGCATAATTTTGCTTTTAAAGTGGTTCATGAAAATAATACGGTTAGTTTCGTCGTTCCAATTTCACCAGTAATTTCAGCATTCGAATAAACTTCGCTATTTCATTCAACATACTTAAGTGCGACAAAGGAGCGATTGTTACTTAATCAGTGAATATCAGATAGCAAAAATTTAGAAATTGAGACAGCAAGTGAAAAGATACTCATCGTTATGCATATATGGATAAGTCGGTGGTTCTCATAGGTTTTGGAGGTATCAAGGGGTAATGGAGGAGGTCGCGAAACTAGCATTTCGTGCAGTTATTACATTGTGATTGAACGCCATCGTTGTAGTATTTTTTAACTCGGATATTTAAATAAAGTGAGTAGGTGGCAACACTCTTCATTCTCCTATTTTCTGGTTATCACTAGCTCGTCCGAGTTTTCATTCGTTTTAACAGGATTTTCATTCTTTTCCTTGCTGGTATAATCACTCTCATAGCTTTTATCACTAAAAGTGTTNCATTCTGTACAATGCATTCTATAATTGATCGTTTGACTGTCGAACGTTGTTGAGCAATTCAGTTCGATTACAGTATTGTTGATTTCGGCTGTCAACAGTCGTCGCTAAGTAGTATATGCTACAGAATGAGAAGTTATGAAGTGAAAGGAGACAAGTGAATGAGAAAAACTCATCAAGAGAACAATATTCGCATGTAATAGCTATGAGAGTGAATACAACACGTCTGAAGCATGAGAATCCATTCAAATCAGTTTGAAGTGACCGTGTCATAGACAATAACTTTTCATGCAATCATAATCGATTGCAATCTAGGACAGTGGTTCTCTTAGGGAGTGAAGTTACCCGTTTTGGGTAATTTGGGGTGTTGGGGGGAAGAGAGATAACGGCGGCCTGTCAGATCATCAAAAAGGGTAATGGAGCAACCGAACGTGAGAACAACTGGAATAAGTGGAGATTCTTGCTTGATGAATGCTAGTAATGAGTAATTGGTGAAAACTAAAGAGTAACTTTTGAAATGATATGCTTTTTAAGGATCGCAGAGCAAGAGACCATATAAGCATTTTTTGCGTGTGATCTGGGTATCGTAACTTTTGAATCCTTATCTCGGGATTTATGAAATGAAAGAATGCAGGATTTCGAGATTTGAAAAAGCAAAGCATTTTCTACGATTTCGGTAGTAAATCATCTCGATATACATAGTAATCATATCCAGTTGAATCATACTCAGTAATGTTGATTATTTACCAGACAAACGGCAATAAATGGACAATTCATTACGTAATATCGCCACCTCGACTTTCGTTTTTTCAGAAAGCCACTGAGGGAAATTCCGCCGTTATGCCACCAATCTTGCTTCAATTTTGTTATCACCGTTGCTTTGTCTTCGGTTTTTCAATACTATGATGCAATTGAAAAATGATTCCGGCAGTGAAAAATAGTCGAAATTTTCCAAACACTATGTAAAAACCGAGTGTTATTATTTGATTATGAACGTTTCAATTATTGCCTTATTGCCTTAGGGTTGCGTCATCGAGTTAATTTACAGCTATTTGATGCAAAGAATCATTCGCATGCACAGCGTCAAGTAGCACAGTTTCACAACGGCTTGCAGTATGTGTTCACAGTAACCAGTATTCTAGTTCAAGTATTCCTGCCGGTTCTTTTATTATCAGTCCTCAATTCATTCCTCATCTACTACATACGACATAGGCACGAGGTTCGTTTCGAAGCCGATCAATCAGTTTGCTTTGTTTTATTCTGTTCTTTAAAAGTTCATCGTTGCGCGTTTAAGCGCGTTTCGCTCTCACTTTTCATCGTTTAATCGACCATTCATGAACGCAACTGAGCAATCTTTTCGCGTGACCCTTCCTCGACATCACATCGCAAAACACTATTTGGAAAACGCTTGATTGAATCATTCGAAGAATTTTAACGCATATCAAAAGAACAGTTCGTTCTCCTTTCTCATCTGGAAGAATGTTCGGTCGTTTGTCATTCGAATCGAGTGTGTCTTTTTTCAGTTTTTCGAAATCACTGCTCCAAAGAGTTCAGTGCATTCAACGAAGTCAGCAGTGGCCACTGAAACACCACCGATGACAGCTGCAATTCTTCCGAAGGCATCAACTGTGACAATATGTGATAACCCACGACGATCCTCAAAGTTTGTTTCAGTTGCATCACTGTCAGTGAACTTATCTGCTGCGAGAGCCATGAAATCTTTGATGCCGCTCGCTATGCACTCAACTGATATGTGACTTTCAAGATTTAAAAAAAAACATTTTGAGAACATGTTATCAACGCAAACAATATCCTGATGTTTCATCACAAAAAAAAAAAACTACGGGGAAGTCCTACTGGATGTCATTGATCGATATTTCTCATTGGTTACATTAATTCATTTCACGTCGTTCAGCGATGCACCAATGAATTAATGCAAATGATTTTGGTATTCGTTTTGAACGCTTGTTCGTTGCAAATCAGAATGACTGATTAGATCGTCAATAAGCAGCAGCAGTAAATGAGATAGTTGATTGCAGATGGTCAGGTGCATGGGTCCGTCAGTTGCACACAAGTCAACGCCGTGTCACAATAATGGTCATCGCAATTGTGTCGTGCTATTTGGTGACACACGTTCCGTCAACAGTTCTCTTCACGTACATGTACACGATCGACTTGAATTTCTACACACGGAGGGAGAATTATGCATTCGTTCTCATATCAAACCTATTCGTTGTTTCCGGTAAAGTGGCAAACTTCTTCTTGTTGTGTAGTTCGAGGTTTGTTGTTCTTTCTAGCGAAACCATTCCTTACTCAATTACTTCACTTCTCATTTATGCCTCTAAAATCGTTGAAGAAAGCACTTCGATTGTGTCTCTGAAGACGCATTTATACTTCTAAAAAAAATCATTTGCTATTTGCAGAAATGAATTTCATTTAAAGATTCAAATTGCAGTTCCCACTTCCGTTCACAAGTGAAGCAAAAGTTATGTGTGAGGAGCAAAAGATTTGAGAAGGATCGCAGCGTGCAGAATGGATCCAAGACATTGCCAATGAATAATTTCGGTGATCGGAACGGCTTAATTCGTAATCGCGAAACGATATTTTGTGACGATGCTACTGTTGGATCACCTCTTCTGCGTTGATCATTTAGCATATCAACATTCGTCATTATTTATTTGGTCCACAACCTTGTGTTGTCATTCTGTCAAGGTGATCATTGACTACTAGCCACAAATTAAAAGTGACTCTAACTAGGATATCAACATCCTCCTGAATCCTCTCAATTCTAGTAGAACTCCGCAAAAATTCAACATTATACTTTACAAAAAATAGATCTAAAAATTCGAAAAACTCAAAATCAGTGAAATTTCTTTTCCAATCATGATTGGCATGTGAAGAATCTCTCCGTGACTAAATGACTGCGTGAAGAGCAAAAAAAAANAAAAAAAAAAAAGAAATTGCAGAAAGATGATCGGAAGTGGCGAGAGCTGAAATCATCAATGGTCACTTGTGTATCCTGCTTTTATGGATTCATTTATTGTCTCCTTTCATCAGATTTGTACCATTTTACATATCAATTTATCTGTATCATACGGTTACAATATGTGTTTACTAGTCAGTATGGTCACCATTGAGCCAGACATAATGAACTAGCACTGCTTACTGTTTCCTTCCATTCATAAATGACATACCAAGTTCAAAGTGCAAAGGCAATTTTTTGAAAAAGTTTGCTTCGGTTTCCAAAAATATCAGATGAATACAATCACGACAAAAGTTCTTAAAAAGTAGTCAGATTATTAATCGATGCCGTTCGATGGTATCTATACACTTTTTTTTCTCGCATAAACCCTTTCATGGTTGGTGTGACACCGGCCACTGTTGAAATGGTCATTACCATTTCCTAGATCAGTGTTCTCAACCCTTCCGACCAATTACTCATCTCACCTAAGATAATGCTTTGATCGTCTCCTCTCTTTCCGAGTGTTGCATTATTTAACACTGCTTTCACAACTTGAAGAAAATTTTGCGGTGATTTTGAAATGATCACTCAATTCCAGCAAAATTATCTCCTCTAGATGCCGTTTTCGTCACTGGTGGACGACTTTGCCTATGTTGA